AATCTAATTAAATCACAAATATAAAAACGCCGGAATAATCGAATAAAACCATAACAATAAAAGATAAATTTATATTTATATTGAGAAGTGGTAAAATCTCTTCCGTCAGGAAAAGAATGTAAAAAATTATTTATTAACGGAGGTATTCTGATTTAAAAGATCTTTAAAATATATATTTTTCAGGAACTTTTTATAGGGAAACGAAGAAATTCTGAATAAGAAAGTGAATAACGTTAAACTTTGCATGTTTTCTTCACCTTATTTTAAAAATTTATTTTTATTTTTTAAGTAACAAAAATGCTCTTCTTTTTTGTTATATCCTGGTTACCATAAATGACAGACGGTGTAAATAATTCTAGCTGTTCTAGGTATCTAAAACGCAAAAAGCTAAAATTTTCTTAATCAGAAGAAGTATATGTGGCTATCGTCTGAACTAGAACTAAACCAATATTTCCATTCTAGGTTCTAGGCGGCCTTTTTATCAAAAATATTATTAATCAATATTAAATAAACCATTTACGATCTGAGCTTAGATTTTATAGTAGCTTAATATTTTTTATATACTAAATATTTACATATTTTTCCAACTTTAATCAACTACGCGTCGACTAACTTGTCAGACTTACAACACAGCTCCTATTGGATTAATAAAATCTCCCTCACACCCCTCTAATTAAATCAATTTAAATAATAGTAAAAAATTTTTATTACTCCAACAGGAGCTGTGTTGTAAGTCTGACAAGTTAGTCGGCGCGCAATTTATTAGATTGAAAAAAATATACGTGTAATACACAAAAAATATTATTAGGCTATTAAGATCCAAACTCGGATCGTACACGGCTTATTTAATATTGATTGATTGTATAACGGTCATAAAACGGTCTTATTTCTCTTATATTATTAAAAATATTATAATTTTTTTCAAAATTTTGTTAAAAAAAAAATTATTTTATTAAATATTTTATTAAAAGAAAAAAACTAATAAACGTATAATATATGTTTATTCTAGTTCAGACAATAGCCACACTTATTCTGAATAAGAAAATTTTTGGTTTTTGGGTTTCTGATACCTATGGAACAGCTAGAATCATTTACTCTGTCTGTCATTTACACCTTCTAGTGATCAGGATATAACATAGAAAAGAAAAGCATTTTTCTTACTTAAAAAATAAAAATATATTCTTAAAATAAGGTTAAAAAACATGCAAAGTTTAACGTTATTCGCTTTCTTTGTTTCCCTATAAAAAATTCTTATGTATGAAAAATACTTATTTTTAAGACCTTTCAAACCAGAATACGCCCTTAATTTATTATTTGTTATTAATATATTGTTATTAATTATATACATATAAGTATTAAAAAGCATATGGTATAAAATAATTTCAATATTCAAATTATTGTAATAATAATAAAGAAATCAATTATCTACATTTTCTTCTGTGTGTGTATGTGTGATGTTATTAAATATATTAAATATATTAAAAACGTTTGATTATTAAAATCTTGCATTCAAAATAACGCTTATAACAGATAAACAAAATGTTGTCTGTATTTGACATTACACTCGTGAAAATTAAGCGTGTAAAAAATCTGCAAAAAAAATGTAAACGTGCAAAGAAACTATATTGTCAATAACATCACACATACACACACAGAAGAAAATGTAAATAATTGATTTCTTTATTATTACAATAATTTGAATACTGAAATTATTTTGTACCATATGCTTTCTCACACTTATATGTATGCGATTAATAATAAAACATGTTAATGACAAATAATAAATTACCAGAGCGTATTCTGGTTTGAAAGATTTTAAGGATGTTCTCCGGAAAATCGATTTTCTCTAGATTTTCTTGAAACTGTGAATATACATTAATTTATAGGTGTGTTTTATGTGTAGTATAAATTTTAGTACTTCTTGCGGTATTAAAAATCGAGCTTCTGAGCTACTGAGCTTCAAAGTTTTAACTTTTAACACGGAATTCCTATTCCGAGGTATTGTGAAACAGACATTTTAATAAATTGTGAAAAAAGTTTTTCTAAATGTTTTTGAAAGACTAGTATATGATGCTTTATATAAAAATAGAAATTAATAATATGCGATAAGTTTCAATACCTTTGCGGTACTCGTTTGCGAGAAATACTTGTAAAGTACGCGATTTGAAATTAACTTCTTATTTTTTAGTTGTTATATGTAATATTTAGTAAATTAACTTTAGTAAAATAAATTTTTCTTTTTAAGCATGAATATAAGTTGAGTATGACTGGAGCCGGAGAAGGTCTTTAAAAATAGGTATTTTTCAAAAATTTTTTATAGGGGAACGAAGAAAGCGAATAACGTTAAACTTTGCATGTTCTTTTAATCTTACTTTAAAAATCTATTTTTATTTTTTAAGTAAGAAAAATATTCTTCTTTTTTGTTACTTTTATGTTATATCTTGATCACTAAAAGACATAAGTATGAAAAACGAAGTAAATGATTTTAGCTGTTTTAGGTATCAGAAACGTAAAAACCAAAAATTTTCTTATTCAAAATAAGTGATATGGCTATCGTCTGAACTAGAATAAACATTTTCTTTTAATAAAATACTAATAAAATTTTAAAAAAAGTTATATTTTTAATAAAAAAAGCCGCTCAGAATGGAAATATTAATTTAGTTCTAGTTCAGACGATAGCCACACTTCTCCTGCAGAATAAGAAAATTTTAGCTTTTTGCGTTTCAGATACCTAAAACAGCTAGAATTATTTACATCGTCTGTCATTTATAGTGACCAGGATATAACAGAAAAAAGAGCATTTTAGCATTTTTGTTACTTAAAAAATAAAAATAAATTTTTTAAATAAAGTGAAGAAAACATGCAAAGTTTAACGTTATTCACTTTCTTCGTTTCCCTATAAAACATTCATGAAAAATATATATTTTAAAGATCTTTTAAATTAGAATATCTCTGTTAATAATTCTTTACATTCTCTTCCTGACGTGTGTGTGAAGCTATCGTCTCATTTTGCAGAAACTCACAAATTATTGAGAGTTCTGGCTTCCTTTTCAATAGTTCTAAAGTTCTTGACAGTTTAAACAAATTGTTCTGGCCATTAAAGCCATAAAAACGCGTCAGTACAAACTGAGACGCTATTATAGGTTCACGCAGCGTCTCACTTTGTCCTACACAAGTTCCACCACTGTATCTCGTCAGATTTTGCAAGATCTATAGTTCTATAACAGTTCTATAAAGAGTTCTGCCATATAAAAACAAAAAAATTAATTATAAGGTACTAAAAAAAAAATTACAACGCAACAAGTATACCGAGTTAAGACGCCAGTTGAAATCTCGGAGTTCCGGTTTATGTAAAATATTTTTCGAGTAGTTTTGAGCATATTGAAACATTTTCTAAAGAGTTCCGAGCGTTAGAATCTTTGTGTTATATTAAAAAAAATTAATATTAACCGAAAAATAATCATGACAGAATAAGATGAGACGCTGTGCAAAATCTCGGAGTTTTGGCTTATATAAAATATTTTTCGTATAGTTCTGAGCATACTAAAGCATTTTCTAAAGAGTTTCCGCCACTAGCTACGTTGTATATATATGTTTATTAACTTTAGCAAACACTAGCTACGTTGTATAATTTTTAAATAAATTAATACCGCTCGAAAATCAGGAATTTATCGAAAATAAGCTGAAACGCTGGCCGTATTTTGTTATAATTCTCGTGTAGTTCTGAACGTGTTCTAACGTTGTCCCATTTTATTCTGGCAATAAGCATTATTTATTCATTTTTTAAATAATTTTTATCGCTTGAGAAAGACCCTATTCTCGATAAATTCCTGACTTTTGTGCGTTATTAATTTATTTAAAAATTATACAACATTCCCAATGCCCGGAACTCTTTAGAAATTGTTTTAGTATGTTTAGAACTGTACGAAAAATATTTTATATAAGCCAGAACTCCGAGATTTTTTACAGCGTCTCATCCATATACCCGTAAATGCGTCTTTCTTGGGAGATAAAAATTATTTAAAATATAAATAAATAATGCTTATCGTCAGAACTCTTTAGAAAACGTTAGAACACGTTCAGAACTATACGAGAATTATAATAGAACTGACTGTTACCCATGTGTATTGTTTATTTAAGAAAGTGTTTTTATTTTTATCCAATTATCCTTCTGTTGTTGCTCGTAATCTGGCCGCTTGAACATGCATTAGATAAAATAAATTTAATAAGAGTGCAAGAAACATTATAAACTACCATTTTTTTCTCAATATAGTTAATAATATAATTATTGGTATGCATTTAAATATTAAATTTAAAATTTATTATGCTAAAGTAAAGGTTTTTAATGTAAGACTTTTTTAGATAGAAAAGCATAGAACGGTGATTTTTATACATTACATTTACGAATTTTAGTTTTTATGTTTATAAATATTTATTTAATTAATTATATTTGCAATCTTTATATATTTATAAATTTCAAATGTATATACATATATATATATATATATTTTTTTTTTAATTTATTTAGTTATAAATATAAAAGTTAGTAAATATACACGCAAATGTAACGTATAGCGGGTATAGCGTATCGTCGATTTGTCAACTCGAGACTCGGCACTCGGCGGAACACGAGACGCGATACTCGAAATGCGTGGCATCGTGGACATCGTGGTATAGCCGGCCCGTGCAAAGCGGCAACGTCACAGCTCAAGAGAGACAGCAGATCGTATGTCTGTCCTTCTCTCCCCGCTCGAAGCTTGCCGAGTGCCTAGCGTACACGGACATAGGAGGGGCTTGCGCGACCAGCATATCCTCTCCATCTGAGTAGTTTGGACACGAACCATACCATAGCATGGATACAAACCCATGTATCGTTACCCGAGTCTTCTCTGATCGTTACCGAGCGTAATGCCGTAGTTGACGTCCACTTTTTCAGAGGGCAGATTAGGACAGACGTCCCCCGAAGCCGGATGGCCGCTCTCAGGTTTCTCTCTGGTTTTAGTTAATAATATGCGTAACATATAAACAGAGAGTCAAAGAAATGGTGCTAAGTAAATTAAATATAAACATATGTAAACAATATCAATTCTGTCAAGGTGTGCCGTACGAGGTATTTCTCGGTGATTGCGTTTGAAGAGTCTGCTGTTGATTCGATGTAGCCTGCGTGGAAGCCATCGTTGTAGGAGCAATAACTCGAGCGTACACGGCACCACTTGCGGTTTTTAATCCGGTTGGCGTGGGAATTACTTTAAGCCCGTGTAATGTTTTGATGTTGAGTAGCTGACTCGGCAAGATAATCGGTTGCTGCGTTTGTTGCTGCTGCTGCTGCTGCTGAGAGGCTGGCTGCTTGCCTAATACTACGTTTCCGCCACTGGTGCTCACTGCAACTCCAACGTTTTTGTTACTGCTCGCTAACACAATAGGTTTTCCCGCGAGCTGAGCGGTAACCATCCGGACAGTCTGAGCCTGTTGCGGCTGAGATTGCTGGTGTTGCGTGCTGACTGCTATTATCTTTGATTGACTAGAAGATGCTTGCGCTTGCGGCACTACCTACAAATATTCATGTAACATTGTTAAAAGAAAGAAAAGTTTATTACACTCATTACTTATTCTAATTTAATCAACGAAGATATTATAATTCCTATTCTTGATAATAAAACTTTTGATATTCTAATAGTAATAAATTTCCAAATTGCTTCTTTACGTAAATATTTTTTTGTACATTTTTTGTATTAAAAAAATTGATAGGGATTTGTTCAAAGATTAAAAGTGTAGTTAGAATTTCATAATACTTACTTTTTATGTATGTCTATTTATATTTAAATCTAATAATGCGTTTTGCTCTTTTACAAGTATTTATATTATTATTGGTAAATATTTTCTTTTACACAGACTCTACGTTTACACGGTCCGATTTACGCCGAAGTTATAACATCGATGTTAACTACTGACGTTAAATGCCGTGTAAACGCTTTTTTTCGACGAAGTTATTATGATGTAGTAACGTCAGTAGTTATAACATCGATGTTATAACTTCGGCGTAAATCGGGCCGTATAAACCTAGTCTTAGTCAGCCCCAAATGACTTTTGACCTACCTTGATGTTGACCTTGACCTTCAAGAAGTTCAAGGTCATTGACCTTTCCCGTCGCTCGTTGTTCATTAAAAAATTATTAACAAAGCATTTAAACTATTAAAATATATTATATATCCATAAATTATCACATTAGCTACTATGTGTGTATAGACAATACACATGTAGTCGGGGGAGGAGCTACCGCCTCTCCCCCGCAGGCAAGGGTGGGTGGGGGTGGACCTCGACTCGTTTTGAATTGGAAAGTTGACAATCCAACTTTTCATTCGAAGCGAGGTCCACCCTACCTTACCTCACCCCTGCTTCAGGGCGAAACGAGGTCATTGTACGGTTCGAGTTTTCGACTTTTCACACGAAACGAGGTCTGCCTCCACTCACTCCTGCCTACATATGTACTATCTATACAAATATATCAACAAATTATACACGGTGTCAAAAAACTATGTCGTAGTTTCCAAACTTCTTTTATTAATAAAACTTTTTAATGAACGAGCGACGAGAAAAGTCAACGACCTTGAACTCCTTAAAGGTCAAGGTAAACATCAAAGTAGGTCAAGTCATTTGGGGCTGACTGTGTAAAGGAAAATATTTACCATCAAAAGGTTTCAGTGTAGTCAATAAATATGTAAATAAATCTACTATATGTAAAGTGCGCTTACTTGGTATTGAGCCTGTATGATCTGCTTGCCTTGCCTATTAAGCTGATTAGCATGGCCAGTAGCAGTAGCCAATTTCAATCCTTTCTGCGCTAGCAAACTTTCGACAGAAATAATCTGTCCCCCGCTGCTGTTCGTTAAAACTTTCGCAAGTATCTTTTGTTGCTGTTGCTGCTGTTGATGATGAGGCGATTGTTGTATCTGCACGGCAATCGGTTTTCCTCCGATTTGTGCAATTATGCGTTGCATTCCCGGAGTTTGTTGTATAGGCTGTTGTTGATTAGCCGTAACTCGTTGTTGTTGGAGTTGTTGCTGCTGAGATCAGAATAAAATTTAAATAGAAGCAAATAATAAACGTAACAAAAACAAGGTTTGCTTGCAGAGATACCTTCAGTTGCTGTTGTTGTTGCTGTTGTTGTTGTTGTTGCTGTTGTAATTGTTGCTGTTGCGATTGATTATTCGACGGTGAGGATTGTTTGATAAATATAGTTTGACCCTGAAGACCGTGGCTTGTGAGCAACGATTTAATTTGACTCGAGCTAACTAATTTAATCTGTGATGCCAAGAGAGTTTTGCCTGGTAACACATGTTGCTGTTGTTGCTGCTGCGATTGTTGTTGTTTCATATTAGTAGTTTGTAAAATACTTTTCCCTGCTTGATTTGTTACTACAGCTGACTGCTGCGGTGGCTGATTTTGCGCTTTTGTAGACGGTAATATCGTCGTTAAATTTGTTGTAGCTCCGTTTACCACGTTTGAATTATTACTAGTTGAAACAGATTGTTGTGCAGATTGCAATACAGAATGTCCAGACAGACGAATGGTCTGCAGGCCAGCAGACGTCGATACTTGAATTTGGTGATGTGGAAAATTGTGTTGATTTGATTGCAATAGACTTTGAGCAGCGTTTGTCTTGAGTACAGCGATTGGTTTTCCTCCTACAGTAGATGCCTTTTTCACCATTATTGGAGCGAGTGACGATTTCGTATCTATTGCAATGTTATCTCGTTCTGTGCTCACTACATTTGTAATCGTAGCCGAAGAAGTCACGATCGATGCAACAGAAACGGGAGTTTCAACGGTAGAAATTGCTGATGTTATTGTGTTAACTCCCATTTCTACATTAGCATTAACGGAATGTTCAGTGGGGATAGAATGGTCAGTGACAATTTTTTCTTCAATTTTACGCTGCTCTTTCCTGTGAGAAATGTAATAAATATAGAATAATATTTTAAATATTTTTCTCAAATATATTGTAGTTTTCAAATAAATACAAGATGCTTACTTAGGAATAACAGGTTGCATAGGTATAGTTGTCATTCGCCTTTCTTTCTTGAGAATAACTTCTTTGGTATTCGAAGATTGTTCTTTATTTACATTAGCTGATTTGAGAATTGGTTGCACCACTTTATTTCGCGACGTATTGCCAACGCTTTTCTTATTTTTCGCAATACCTTGTAATTGTTGGTGAACCATTTCTACAAGAGATAAAAAAAATATCTTGACATAATCACATGAGAAAATTATAATTGAAAAACTTCAGAAACATTCGAGTTACATTAAATAATATATAAGATAACAGAGATAAATAAATAGATGATAACGAACCAAATTCAGATTCAGATCGTCCTCGATGAAGATAAAGCCACTCCTTTCGACGAGGATAATATCTAACACAGGGATCTGTCTCGTAATGTAATCTATCCAACGCTCCTGATACTACAGAATGGAGATATCCTTCCTTCTCGTCATTGTCTTGCTCTATGATGTACTGCGAATCTTTCAATAACTGACAAATATCAGCACGAGTTCCTTCACCATTAGGAAGTCGGGCAGTAGCATCTCTAACTAACGCTAAAATTGTTACGAAGTTCGGACGATCCGGTACCAACAACGAATGTCCTCGGGCTTTGGCTTGTCCTGAAGCTTAATATAAATAATATAATTAATCTCACATATCTGTAATAATAAACTAATAATTAAAAAAATTTTTTTAAATATAAAATGTAATAGGTTTCCTATAAAAAAAAGATTAAATACTGGTTTATTTACAATAATGTGTTCATTATAAAAGATGTAAAATATATTTGTTTTATGAATGGCTTATAACACAAAATGATTTAAACTATAAATGTTTCGGTTAATTTAATTGCATATAAATTTCTTATACATCTGTATCATATCATTACATTATATTGTATATGACTGTATTGTATTTTACTGTATTATATTGCATTGTATAGTACTATATTGTATTGTATATTTTACTGTATTGTATTGTACTTTTGTACACAACCAGTATACGGCTTGCGATTGCTTGTCTGTACTCGTATCACATGTATGTGTGTGCTAATATTTGTTATAACATAATTTATAGTAAGAGAAACTCAAAATTCAGTATTCTTTACATTACAAAGCACAAGTCAAACATACCAACATTATGCTGATAAATTCCTTTGACGGGGCCGACTACGGACGCGTAACCATGCATGCGATAAGTAAACGCTTTATGAGGCGCAGCGTAACGCATACGCTCTTGTCTTCGAAATTCTTCGCGTTCTTCTACTGTAGACGGACGGACCTTCCATTCTGTGGGAAATAGCGGTCGAGGTGGTTCCCAGTCTGTTCCAGTGGCACTAGCGTCCACATTAGTAGATTCTAGTGCTGGACTTCCGCTTCTGCCACTTTGCAAAATTCCGCTTGTAACGATCGAATTATTAGTCGTGCTGTTATTACTCGAGGAGATTTGAGACTGCTGCGATTTTGTAGCTGTTACAGCACTAGTTGTCGGAGTGTACGGTGACGTCAATACGTCTCTATAAAAGCATTACTTGTTAAATTCTATAATGAAGCTGTTTAACTCATGACTTGTCGCAAAAAAATAATGAGCAAGAGAATTTAGAGACACCCATATAAGCGAACAAGTGAAGGACTTATTGAACAAGAAAAAATGCACTTATTTGCCGTTAATGCCGTTATAATATAATAATCTATAACATAACAATTAAAAACTAAAGGATCAGTGTTTGCCGCCGATTCTTACTTGTACATGAGAAATTTTGTACACAAGTCCTGCAATCGGGTATCGGAGTCTCTTCCAGCGCCGATCCACGCATATACACCTCGACCCTTATTTTCCAAATAGGGCACAAGTTCCTGATCTCGTTCCTGTCGCTGATCCAAATCTTGAGAATACATCAATTCGCCTGCGAGAAATCCCAGAGCTAACGGTACTAAAGTAGGCCACGAAGGTACCAGAGAATACCTGTGACATCATTCATACAATTCGTCAAGAAACGTTACCTACAATCGCGCGCATTGCGGCATAGAAAATTATTTGATATTACCAGTCGTTCAAAGGCGAAATAGGATTGCCTTGCCATTGCATTATTGCTTCCTTCATTTCTGCTGCGCTCATTCGGTACTCTCCCTTCGAAGTAAAAGCGTCCCGTAGTAGAGAGAAGAAGCATGTGTGGGTCTCTTGCATTAATTCCGCCCCGTTGTTAACATCTATACCTTCATTGGTTGGCATAGTCATTTTCGTCTCAGGTATCGATATAACTCTCTCATCTTCGCACCTGTAACGTCAATTCGCTCCGATTTAAGTTTTTTCTCATTATTGACTTAATTACATTATTGTCTTATACACAATAGGAAACTCACTTAACATCGTCGAGTATATCAATCCCATCGTCAAGTTGGATCGGTAATTGCATCATGTCAATACTGTCTAAATCAAGCTCTTTCTTAGATTCATTTTCCTCTTCTTCCTCGGTTTCAGCCAGCACATCCTCGTTCACGCTCAAACTTAATTCGGTCTTAACTTTGTCATATTCCGTGTCTTCGACTTCCTTTTTTATCTCTGGTATATTGGCCACTGCTGGTTTGCTACTCTTTTGAGTTACTGGGCTGCTGCAAATGAGAAACACGATTGGAACATATATCAAGCGTTATAATCGTATGATATTTATCTAATGTATGCAGTTAATTGTAATTACATTTTCTTTTTAGCTACTTGATGTGCTTCGTATGTCTCAACGGGTTCCGACTTGATAGGCGTTGTTATTCTATTATAATCTACATCCACGACATTAGATTGTCTGTTGTCGTCCGTCGTATGGGAGTAATCGCTGTTGTCACTTTCATGTTTCACGAAATTGGAGTTTGCCAGTTTCGGCGCGGGCGGACACAACGAGTTTTGTTCCAATTTGATTTTCTTTTTAGAAGACGTGATCTTCATAGAGTTGCTAATTGTAAGTTTCTGTTTTTGACCAATTTGCGATCTTTGTGTGAGATCGGCGAGCGCAATTCCTTGAGTGTTCAGCTCCGGATGAAGCTATATATGTATATATAGAATTTAGTTGGTTATTACTTAAATAAGTAATTACGACAAAACGATGAGATACTATACGTACATCACGACGGGCACGTCGTTTTTTATGCGCGATCAACATAGCACGATAGGTCTCCTCCGTTTGTTCGCGTACAAACAACGATCTATTAGAAGCGTACTCCATTCGCTGCAAGGTAGAAAATACAGGTCTAATTGTATCGTCCTCATGATTGAGTTGTAGGCCTTTAACCGACAATCCTTGAAGACTCATGGTAAAACGCCGTTTTTTCTTCTGCTTAGCGCCAGTCGTTTGATAATAAGGATAATTCTCTTCGTTTTCGGACGTCGTATCGGCGGACAGTCTCGTGCTGGTCCTGAGTTCCGCCAGAACTGCGTTTAGCTCCTCCAAATAACGCAACTGAGTCTTTTCTTCAACTATTATTTATTCTCATGTTAGTATTGTCTTCCCGGTCATTATATACTTCTCTGCCAAATGGCTGAAGTAGAGGAGAATATAAACAGCCGAAAGATATCGAATACAAATCAGACACTCACCCATTATTGGTTTTGATTTGCGCCAATGAAGTTTAGACATCGATCGGTTTACTGGTTGATTGAAACCTTGCCTATACGCATTTGATAATAAACTTTCCCGTGATTTTAGTAGCTGATTCGCCAATTCGTATGATCGTTTCCGCTCCTCGAACAACAATCTTCTTTTCTGCGCTTTGCGAACCAAACCGCGTATTCTTTTGATATCAGGACGATAGTGACCGGAGGAAAGATGATTATGAAACGTGTCCAAAGGCATTACACCAAATCTGCAATACATTTTATTCCGAATGTTCCAATTAAATCGACTTCAGAACACGATCTATATTATTCTCATTTTGCAAAAAAAAAGACTAATAATTACTACCTGTTGTTTTCTCTATTAAACAACATTTGTAACGATTTCTCCATTTGTGCCTCTATATTGGAGTCTTTTGGAAAAGTAGGCAAAAGATTGTATAACGTTTCTCGTTGACTTTCGGTAAGCCATTCGTTCCAGAAACGTGGGTAATCTAGCATCTCTTTAAAGATACTAAAGTGTTCACAAAGATCCTGGGGTAATTTTACTTTAATATTGGCAGCGACGCAGGTTTCCCATCTCTAAAAATCAATTTATTGTTAAATCGATTACTATTATCATTACAAATCGTTATCGTTAATTAATTTAATATTTATCTATTAATATAATATTTATCTATTAATTTGTTACTAAAAATTATAATAATAAATTGTAGTAATAGTTATACTTTATAATAAGCTATTAAAAGGAAAGGTACACTTAAAAATTACAAAAATATCAATCTTTTTTATTTTTTAAAGAAATATGAATTGTTTTTTATATGTTTTATTTGTACATTTTGAACTATACAGGGCGTAACAAAAAAATAAGGACAGACTTTGTCTGCTTGTAAGAGGGGGGGGGTTGATATAAGTAATTTGAATATAGAAATACATGTCCGCTGAAGCCTTGTTTCCGTGCTACACAGGGCTGCGGTCAGAATGTCAACCTAGGCAACTCTAAGCTATAGTTTATGTCACGTATACTACAGAGTTACTTAGGTGTGCCTAAGCGTCATTCTTGAACGCATCCCAGCATTAAAGTTGCCTAAGCTTCCTGTGTAGGTAGGTAAAGTACCTTTTCGATAAAAGATAGCGAACAATTTTATTTGCGAAAGCTGTTCCGAATTAAAAATCAGGCCCGCATACCAAATTTTGAATCAATCCTGACTTAATCATACCTGAATCATACCTGACTTAATGTAGAAAAGCAAAAACATCAAAGTAGGCCGATTGATTCAAAATTTGGTATAGAAGCTCGATTTTTATTTTAAAACAGCTTTCTCAAATAAAATTTTTCGTTACTTTTTCGTTATATCCTACATAGGAATTTGAGGCAACATCTTGAGGAAATGAGGATATACATACATTCCTATGATATTCAAATTACTTGTATCAACTTTCCCTACAAGCACACAAAGTCTGTCTGTATCTTTTTTTTACATCCTGTATAAACTAATTTTTAGGCGTCTAAATAAAAAAAAAAAAAAAAAAAAAAAAAAAAAAAAAAAAAAAAAAAAAAAAGAGAGAGAGATTAAACTTATCCTTGTGTGGATCAAAATAGGTAATACATCCTGTGTAAATGTTAAGCAAAAATTTCGTAATTTTTCATTTTATTAAATTCTATGTTTATGTTTTCAATATTCTTTCCGATCTTATAGCATAAAAGCTAAATAACATACTAAAACTATATAGCTATAAGTATATAAGCAAAACTATACTCTGTTTGACTAAACAAATTTGTTGCTGTAATTATAAATTGTTAATAAAAAATTAAACATTAACTTGAAACAGACAGTAAACAATAAAATATAAACAAAAATAATACTTTACATTTTATTTTTTTAAAAATCTTCCATCATTATTATTCAAATTATTGATATATTCCAATATATTGATGTTGAATTTTTTACTTGTAATCGTAATTTGAAATAAATAAACAAAAACAGGAAATTATTGCAAGGAACGACACTATGATGCCAAATAACACCAAAATTTTCGAAAAGTTTCCATAAAATCACGTTTTCTGACCTTTGTATATCTTTTTATATTGGAAAACATTGAATTTTTTTATAATTCATTTAACCTCTTTAAAAATAAACTATAATTTGTTCGGTTTTTTAAATTTTCGATTTTCCAGTAAATTACGATCAAAAGTTGCTAGCAATTAATTGTAAAAAATTGACTTTATTCAAATCAATTAAAATTCAGGAAATAATTAATTTAGGAAAAAAAAATCAAAGCAAACGGTCAAATCAGATGAGAAAAAGATTAAAAAAGAAAAATGATAAGAATATATTGACTCACAATCAGTGATAAGAGAAAGGAATATAAAAATCAAGTAACTTTGTTTCATGATTTCGCTAACTGCACCTTTCCCTTTAAGCATAAATATGCACTTTTTATTTAGCGGCGTAAGTAGACACAAAGGTTGTTCCATTTTTCTTAACATTCAGCAAGTAAGAACAAAGAACGACATTTGAGTCGATTTGTGTCGCTATATATAAATGAGAAACCAACCCAACTATGAAACAAGATATAAATCTTACCAAAGCATCGGGGTTCTCGATGTTTACCATATATTCCGCATTTTCATTTTCATCTTCGTCCTCCTCCGCAGAACTATGGCTTTCGCTGCTGCTTGTGGCATGATCTTCCGCACTATCTTGCTCACTGTCTGTCGTTGTACTACTGCCACTCATACTACTACTACTACTACTATCAGTTCTAGAATCATGCGTTGAAGCTTCTTCTTCATCTTCCTCGGCTCCACTATCACCACCGGCCGAGCATTCATCTATCTGTATCCAACGAGCAAAATATTAACAGTATGCCAACTGTTTATCAACACATTTGAACAGAACATTATGACAGACTGATACTAACTGCATTTACTATATTAATGCTTAAGTTGTATTAAATTTAAGTGTTCCACCAGAGCTTGTCAATATGAATCTGATAACAGAAACCAAACTAAATCTGTCATTTCGTAAACATTTAAATGGAACGTATTATTCAAATAATTATAAAGTAATAGATTCTGCAAGGTTTCTACAGTCAATCTGCCATCATACCCTGTTATATCTCTGGCATTCTATCAATAAAATTAATATCGGATATTCAGTAAAATCTGTTATTCTTTTTAACAGATTTGTCTATCTGGATAAATATATTGCTTAGGGCCGGTTGTTCCAACTTATTGGTAAGTTAACTAATAGTCAAATATGTCTATCTTTGTCTAATATAAAAGATAAACAAAGAAAATATGATTTAACTATTAGGTATTGGTATTACCAACAAGTTGAAACAACCAGGCTTTATGGTATTGCTATATAATGATGATTTATAAAGATACGTAATACAGCAAAAAGATAAGCTCTCTCGAAGCAAAGTAACTTTTAAACAATATATGTGATTTATAATTCCTTATTTATATACAAAAATTTGCTCTATCATATTATTATATTGTAAATTAATATACATATTAACTAGTATAGTAGTTTAACTAGTAGTATATTGATTAGTATAGGTATTAACTATACTAGTTAATATCAACTGACCATAGATATATAATAATTAGATATTAGCTAGTACAAAATAAACCATTACAAATTATATCAATCGCGATCATAAATTGTATCAAAATTAGATGAGTGCAATTATATTAAAAATATATACAAAAATTTAAATTTGGATAGAACCACATGATACGTTGTGTCAAATATATGTCATATTAATTTCGTAGCAGTAGAATGATAGAAACCAACCTCCATTTCCCCAGTTTTCGATCTCGTGCACTTTTTCAGCGATTTGCGCTGCGTCTATCGGGAAATAAGTGTGTGTTTGTGTGCCTTTGTGTGGTGTCTTCCCACCCAACTACAACATTAACTTAACACACGGAGAAAAAGACGCGAAAAGATCTATCAGATATTTCTCAACGTACATACAAGTACTTGTACATGTATATAGCACAAATAACGGTTATAAAATAAGTATTAAGTAACGTCGCTATCGACTATTCGTCTCCGAACAATTATAACTTTCCAGCCCTCCTTAATCATGGCATTAAACACGATGACAACAATATTACGCACTGAACGATAACCATACTGGAATGAGCACTGTTGTAAAGACCGGAACACAATATAAAGGTACTTTTAGTTTAGGTACTACTACAGGCAATTGAGGCAATGAGGCAATAGGAACAGGGAATAGCAAAAGAATGTAGATTTTCAACCTATCGGAAGCCGTCTATCAAATGGGTGCATCCAGATCCAGAAGCACGACCGCTCAGCGTTGATTGGTTGGTTCTAAAAGTAAGAGCCAATCACGTTCGACTGCTACTGAGCGACTTGGTCTGCTGAACGCGCCCATTGGTTACGCGATGACGCGATACAGGTAGAACGACATATCGCTGCATTTCGTCGATATGTCAGATTTTCTAACCTCAATAGTCGTCAACTGTTTACGATTTTATTAGTGCCATATAACCTAAATTAAGTAATTAAGGAAGCAGTCCAATGGTTGACGCCGTTGACGGCACGTTAAATATTTCAAAGAAAAAAAACTGTAACGATTAATATCTCGCTTCTCGCTTCGCGAGGTAGACCACCGCGTTTATCTGCCAGATTCTTTCATTTCGTGTAAAAACGCGTCTATTGAACATAATTTCATCTATATATTCGCGTTCAGGCCCGTATTCTAAATAAATACCCAGTTTTTTGTGAGACAAAAAATGAGCAAAGAATTGTCATCGATCGATTTAAATGAAGCAAAGCAAAGTTTTGTTGAACTGATGCGTTTGTTAAATAAAACGGATCAACGAAAATTTTTGGCATTTATTATGGAGGAATGGAAACTCGAGCCGTCCATAATTTATAATGATTCAGGTTTGTCAAGACTGGTCAAGACTAAACGCAATACAAAGGTGCAGGCAATAGCTAGTTGAAAAGTGTTATTTCTGATTGCCGATTGCCGCCAGTTACTGGGAGCTTTCCAGCAAGCGACACACAAGTATTGTTTTATCTTTGTTACTCATTACCAAAAAAGAAAGAACGATGCTTGTGTCGACTTTGTGTCACTTGTTGGAAAGCTCCCACTGTCGCCAAAAAAGTTAAAAGTTCGCCAACTCTCTTTCGACAACCGCACGTGACAAGCGCAACGTGGAAATAACATTTTCAATTAGCAGCATTTCAACTTATAATGAAACTGAATCACTGTAATTGATCAGGTACAGGCAATAGAGAATAGAAATCCGACGTGTTGGAAATTCTATTTTTATTGCCTATTTCATATTCTATTGTATTGATAGAGTTTTTGATAAGTTGAAATGTGATTCTTTCTGTTTTTCTGCTTATTTCCTATTGCCTGTACCTTTGTATCATATTTAGGCCTTTAACAAGTATAAAGGCCGAGTACGAGTCTATACTCGTGTGTTATTCTTTGTATGCAAATTTGTTGTATTTCCTTATAAAATAAAATGAATGAAATGGGCATATAAATTATTTTTCTTTATGAATACTATCTCAATTTTCATTCAATTTTCTTGGTATTACAATATAATGAAGATATGTGACCATTTTATAATAAAATGCTACAAATGACAAATCAAACAAATAAATCTAATTTTATTTGATAAAATAATTGCAATTAACACAGTTTATATATTTCAATTTTTTTAAATTAATACATTAACGTTGTTCAGTAAAATAATAACACGTAATACAAATTGATTTTTTCTTATCTAAATAATTTGTTAATAGAAGATGATGCATGTGGCAATAAAAAAATAACGGACGAGTCAGTACTTGTTTTAAATTCTATCGTTTCTGATATTAAACAGAAAATCCCATTTAATGCTATATTGGAATCTGAAAATATTACAACTCCCTTAATAGGAGAGGTATGTCTTGTTATAAGTGAAAGAAATAACTATTCAATTTTCTGATAATGTTAAATATAAATATATTTTTCTAGAATTCAGATTGTGATCCCAACATTACAGTGCATGTAGATGAGTTCCTTTATAGTGATGAAGATATTGACAAGTTTGTAGATAATAATCAATTACAAAGATATTATTGCACTGACTGTAGATCCAGAAGTATACAACCGTTAAGTAAGTATAAAATACTAAAGTGAGTCGATATTTATCTGTTCTTTATTTCTAAAATTTATTACAATTACAACAGAGAGAACTTAAAGATATCTCAGTTTTCTACATATATGTTTCACGGTGTGTTGAAAACTCCACTAGGTATGGAGAATATAAGGTTCAAGTTTATGTCCTCAAAAGAAATGTTTTATGATTGCTTTGTCAACCATGCATGCATACACCGCGTCTTTCACATGTTGATCTGTAGGAAATCGCGACTTCTTACGGTGGATAATCCAGGATCTATGGATTTTAGCCTGTGCTGGTACATCATAAGTCCATAAAAATAGATCATTTCTCACTGTTTTTCTTTAGTGCAAACGAAGAGCGATGTTACCATATTTACTCAACGAAAACAATAAGCAAACCAACTAATTAAAGTTAAAATTTTAATAATCTGAACACAGATATATTATGTGTTGAAACATACCCGAGAAAAGCAGCTACACATCAGCTGACTTAAACAGTATTATAATGAAAAGTGCAGATAAATGTTGACTCTTCCTCATATAATTACTTTTTTCTTTCATTTCTTGTGATTGTATATTGTGTAAGTGTAATATTATATATTTATAATTTTAGTTTATTTATCACACTCCATGTCACAGGACGGATTATTCTTTATATTCAAGGTGCTACTGCCTACTTTGAAAAACAAAACTATACTTGATATAGGATCGAGATTGGGCGCAGTTCTTTACGGGGTAAGGATAATAATTAGAAATATCTTTTATTGCATATATGTATAATTGTTAATATTATTAATAATCTATTACAAAATAAGCAATAAAAAAGTTTTTTACAGCAATAATTCTCTTAACACTTTAATGTTCATGTTTCACAGGCGTATGTATATACGGACGCTAGAAGAATTATCGGTGTTGAAATGAACGAGGAACTCTGTAACCTCCAAAATGAAATTCTGTGTAAATACAAAATGGACGACCGTATATCTATTTTACACAAGAGGATAGAAGAAGTTCCAGAGACGATCAAACAAAGCGACGTTATTGTCATTAATAACGCATTTGAATTTTATTTGCCCAGAGATGTACAGATAGATATATGGAAATTTTTGAAAAATGCTATAAAACCAAAAACGCTGCTCATCACTCGTCCATCAGTCGAAGCGACTTTCAAAACTTTATCAATCGGAATCTCGGTGGAAAAGTGGTTGAAACCTTTTAAAAAACCACAGTCTGATAAATTCTCTTTCTTACCTGACTACGAAGGTAAATTCGCTGAAATTTCGTGTTATGAAGTTTTTTAAGAGAATCATAATTATATATATATATATATATATATATATATATATATCTTCAAAGAAAATGCGGTCTTATTGAGGATATTAGATTAAAATATTTGTTTATATACAAATTTGTGTTATATATTACTGTAAAATAGAGCGAACAAAATATTTAACAAATTATCTCTCCTTTTTATTCAACTTCTGATTTCATTTTTCTCATAATATTATGACGCGACGCGTGACGCGCTCAGGGAAACTTAGGGCTGGTTTATAATAGCCGTAACCGTTGATTTAAGCTGTAATCTTTAAGAAATTGACCAATCACAGTCGAATGTGAGAAGAATAATCGACTGTGATTGGTCAATTTCTTAAAGATTACGGCTTAAATCAACGGTTACGGCTATTATAAACCAGCCCTTAACCTAAAGCTGGATTCAGACAGGACGCGTCAAGCAGCGAGCAGCAACCAATCAGCGAGGCGATATTTTCTACGCCACTGCTGATATCACCTTGCTGATTGGGTCGCTGCTCGCTGCTTGACGTTTGACGCGTCCTATCTGAATCCAGCTTAAGCGTAGCATAACCGTGATCAGACTACGGATTGGGATTGAGATTGGATTGAAATTTGACCAATTAGAACAAAATTCACTAAACTTGAAGTAAAGTTAGTTTTTTTTATTCTTATTAATTAAAGATTTTTATTCTTATTAATTTTCTTATTATGCAGCCTATGCAATTTTGTGTGCGATGGCCTTAGGCTGAGTTTCCATTCAGCGCGTCACGCGTCGCGTTATCCGAATTAACCAATCAAAATATCCAATTGTATAACATTATTTGTAATGTAATAAAATTGGACGTTTTGATTGGACAATGCGACGCGTGACGCGCTTAGTGGAAACTCGGCCTAAGGCTGCGTTTCCACTATACGCGTCGCGCGTCGCGTCGTTTGTCGTTAACCAATCTAAACATCCCGTCACAAGTAATGTAATAAAATGGGATGTTTTGATTGGTTAACGACAGACGACGCGACGCGCGACGCGTATAGTGGGAACGCAGCCTAAGGCTGAGTTTCCACTGAGCGCGTCACGCGTCGCGTCGTCCGAGTTGAACCAATCAAAACATCCCATTTCGATCCCGTCACAAGAATGTAATGAAATGGGATGTTTTGATTGGTTTCGATCCCGTCACAAGAATGTAATGAAATGGGATGTTTTGATTGGTTAACTTGTGACGACGCGACGCGTGACGCGCTCAGTGGAAACTCAGCCTTCTCCATTCTCTATTGCGGTCTCAATAGGCGATTTTTGGCGATCGTTTGGTATGGTTTGGTACATATACCAAAGTTGCTATCGGTAGTTGCTATTGGTTCTGGTGCAGTTTGGTACCCTTTGATTTCTTGTAGTCACGCCAAAAATCGCCAAATATGGCTGCTTCAATTAGGTGAGGGCATCACCAATCAGAAATCGCGATGCCGGAGTCGCTTCTCTATTTATAGGACTTTAGTATTCATATGTACAAGACGATATCAAATTCGTACGGTTGGTATCAAATACTTTTGCATTCTGGTGACACTGTAGCGCCGTAGCGGCAGCATTTATTTGTAATATTTGTCTATGTTCATTTCGACATAAAAAATGGCGGATTGCAAGGGTGCGTTTTGTGTCTTCTCTACATTCAGTTGCATCTGTGTGTAGAAGTGAAATAATATCCTTTAAGTGCTAAGAGTACTCCGTGTTGCGTGATGTGGCACGATGTGACACATACCGAAAATACGAGACGTTTTCCGACGAGATTTCCACTTGTCACGTTCATAAACCGACGAGCTAACCGTTTCGTGATAATGATTTTAATCTTTTGTTTCTACTTTATTTAGAGGGTGTAGAGGATATCGATCATCCGCCACTCGTCCTGAAAGTCGATCCGCCCGAAGAGTTGCTGGAGGACTCTACCGAGGATTCAACGACTAGCAATTTAGCCCCACCAACTGACCGGGACACTCACGTTTATGGTTATTCTGAAATATTAATGTAATTCGTATCACGGGGGAATGCATGCAACGATTAGAAATAATCACCTCTGTTACTATACAGTGAAATGTTTATTCATGAAGCAAATAAACTTATGGATTTTGCAGATGACACAAAAAGCCATACAGCGGAATCTAACAACCAAGAATCCACATTGGCAGCCGTTAAGACTCCCAATAAGAAACATAGTGAGTTTATACAATTTGTGTTAAGAAAACCGATGCGACATATTAATACATATCGCGCGTTTGCAGGTCCTGTGCTAGCTGTTTCAAAATTGGGAAATTCATTTGGTGTTAATGAATTTTCAAACCCTGTAGCTAGTAAATCAAAGTCGTCTATACTAAGGCCGTCACAATTAAGTGTGTTAACGAATAGTTCCACAGGGGCCACCGACAAAACTGTCTTGCAACCTGCGAAATTTCACAATCCGTTTGTGAAGGCTACTGATAATTCCATAGATGAGGATGAGCCTCTAATGAAGAGCAATAAGGCCGAAACGGACAAAGACTTTAAAAGCGAGGAGAAGCCTGTGGAGGACGTAAAGCTGAAATTTTTGCCTTTGGGTGCGAGTACCAAGGAGAATGAGAACAATGTAAATAATACTGTGGCATCCAGCGCATCTACCCCTAGCTTTGTGTTCGGTCAGAATTTGAAAGAACGCGTTACTGTTTCGAATGACACAGAGAGTTCGAATAATTCTGAGAAAGACGAGACAAAAAGCAAAGAGAGCAATGAAAATGGATCTTCTGAACTTCTGTTCTCGAATGCAGCTGCAAATTGCCGTACTACAGTGAGGCCAGGTTTAACATTAACTCAAGCAGCGCAGGTTTTGGAGGAAGCTAATCGCGCGAACAAGAGGAAATATAATCAAGTAACGTTATTAACTGGCGAAGAAGGAGAAACAAATATTCTTCAGATCAATTGCAAGTTATTTGCCTTCGACAAGGTGTGTAAACTTTAAGAATGATAAATTGTTTAATACTTAACACATTCACCGTTAATGATGGTCACTGGTGACTCTGACACCAAGTTTTTTTTGTTGATTTAACGTTTTGTTGATTATCAATGACTGTCATGGGGCGACTATTAAATAATTATATCATATTTTTGTGCAACTCATTGTCAGTATTATAAATTCAACACCATAAATCAAGTATTTTGTCGGTCTTCTTAATATAAAGTTATTTAATCCGGCGTGCATGGAAAGATAGCTATAATAAATAAATGCTTTTGGTGGCAAATGTGTTAAAGTAAAATTAGAAACAATGAATATGGAATTAGCATTATATGAATTAACTTATATTGATTTAGCATTGATTTCATAGTTTATTGTATGTTGTAGACTAGTAGCAGTTGGCAAGAAAGGGGGAGAGGTACGCTAAGACTCAATGATCGAGATGAAGAGTCTCGTTTAGTCGGCCGTACCGCCGGGACGCAACGGTTGATCCTGAATACGAAAGTATGGCCGGGTATGACCGCGGAACGTGCTGGACCTAAATCATTAAGACTAACCGCTATGGATGTACTAGACGGGGATATTCGAATTTTCATTGTGCAAGCGGCACCTAAGGAGGTCGATCAACTGCACGGTCTTTTATTACAGCGACTTAAACGCGCGCAGGAACGCCATCCTAAGAAATTAGCAACGGACCATTGACAGCCGTCGACAATTCCAGACGAGGCGTCAGCTTAATTTTGTGCAACATAGAAGTTATTAAGATACGAAAGGAGCTAAATCCTTCAGGAATATAAGACTCTTTAGTATGCGCAATAGAACGGCTATGATTTGTGCCTTCCTTCAGAAGTTGCAGCCCTCGGCAGTTTGTACCAGTATTTATCGAAAAAAAAAGGAGATTAAGTTGTAGCACTTGTACGAGTTTGACGCTCTTGTAAGCATTAGATTCTTCGAGAATACAAAATCCGTTTATAATTTTTTAAATCGATATATTCCGTTTTATTTGAAATTTAATGTGATTTTTAAATGAAAGAGCGTTATTTAAAAATAGAGATACTGCGTAATATTAATTGTCGTAACAAATCTTACCATAAATTACAAGTTAATTCTTAAAATAAATCGCAAAAACTTCAACATGTCTATATTTATATCCAACTATTCGCTATTGCATATTGCAATTGCATTTTTTTCATTTAGAAAGGGTTACATCAATCATTCATAGATCTAAATAAATAATTTGTATGTATAATTTATCATTGAAGAATATATGAGAGTGGCTGGGCAGGTACGAGTTATGGTATTTGTAGCATGTAATATTGCCGTTACTTGTACTCTTGATTTGTATTTAAAGGACGATTTGTGGGAATGTACGATACAACGGCATTATTATTAATATTATCTATAATTACTATAATTATAAGTATATATTGTTTTATTTTAGATGTAAATAAAAGCCTCAGTCTAGTGGTGGAAAAGCTCTAATTGCGCCTTTTGATTTTATTATCCGCGCTACGAGAACAGATTGATTCTTAAATTCGATCTTCGATTTCGGCAATGTTTATCCTACACGAGGCTCGTCTTCTTTGCTCGTTGAATGAACGAAACGGACGGGGCAAATAACTCGCTATTTTATATCATTATCTACACACAATAGAACGGTCAGATTTATTTAAGAAACTATAATCTAATCTATGATTAATAAATTCTGAATTTTTAATACGCAGCGTATAAAGAATGTATCAGTTGAAAATAGAAACAAAATTTTTGTATGGAAATTTTTTCTTTGGCACGTGTGTGTCCTTATATAAACTATCCATGTAAAAGCATGTAATTAATATACGTTCACATGGACTAATGATGACAAAGAATAAATGGAGTTTGAAATAAATCATAAACTGTTTGTGACCCCGCTTTTGGCCGTTCTTAAGGTATTAGTCCGGGAGGCAGCGACACTAGCTAATTTCATCCCAATTACAGCATGGCTAGTTTATATATTTTTTTACAGTATTTGTGCTAAAACATAACAAAATGGCCGTCAGTTGTTCCATCACGTGATCAGGATCCGACGAAATACGTAAAAACTAATGGTATACTTGTCTTATATCGGCAAAGCTGAAACTTTAAAATTTTAGTTTACTGCATAAAACGTAAGAAAAATGCAATCAGCCACCTTATCTCGTGTTCGGCATGCATCAGCTACACATGTAAACGTGTGTTAAAAAAATGTAATCTGTAGTCGACTTATACCGGTAAAGCTCTGAAAATTGTTTAAAATGATAGTTTAGTGCATAAAATGTAAGAAAAACGCAGTCAGCCAGTCGTCAGAGTGTTCAAACGCCTAACTGGCGCGTTTAAGGGGCTGTGCACAATGAAAGGAATAGGAAACAGGGAACAGAGTTTTTAATATTGACATATTCATTGTGTGCATACAGAAATAGAATAAAATTTCATCACTGTTCCTTAGCGTTATTCCTCTGTTCGTCTATTCTGTGTTAATAAATCTGCACATATATGTTAATGAATTTCATATATTAATACTGTTCCCTAAACCCTCTGTTTCCCGTTCTCTATTCCTTTCATTGTGCGCAGCCCTTAAATAAGGTGCAGCGCGGCGAGCATCTTTAAAAAAAAATTTCAGCTTTACCGGTATACTAGCTATTATAACTAATTATATTTTTTTAAACACATTTACATGCGTAGCTGACGCATGTCGAACACGAGATAAGGTGGCTAACTGCATTTTTCTTACGTTTTATGCAATACTAATATTTCAAAAAATTTCAGATAAGATATTTTTTACATATTTCAGACTTTCTCGTCGCGGATCCTGAACAGGCCGTGGTGCGACAGCTGACAATTATTTTTTTGTTTCTTTTAGCACAAATACGTATACTGTAAAAAAAAAGCCATGCCGAAATTGGCGTGAAATTATACAAGTGTGTCACTGCTTCCCGGACTATATGCGGGCTGGTATTTTCTCACTGCAACGCCATGTCTGAATCATGATTTAAAAAATGAAAGATTATGTGAATTTTAATCTCTTACACGACTTAATTTTAAACAAATTAAATTTTTCATATGCAGCTTTATACGCGATCAAAGATCCATAATTTTGATCGCATATGAAGCTAAGTCTAATCAACCGAATTTAAAAGAACTGCTTTCACCTGCTTTATTACCGAAAATTAGTGCCGTTGATTTCCTTACTGCTCAAATTTTTCTGTGTGCCCGGACCTTAAACGTTATCGTCAGGTAAATAATTAAATATTGTCGGCGCGGCGGCGAGACCGTTGGCGCGTTTGCACGCGGGCGCTCGACTTTGTTTTTCGTACGCCGCGCCGCGCCGCGCCGCGCGGCTCCCATCCCGCGGCTCGCGACGTCACACTATTATTCACATTCCGATGCTCGAGCCGGCATGCAGCCGAGCGAGCGGCTCCTAGAGCGAGCAGCTACAGCTACAGCTAAAAAAGATACAGTATTCTCTCTTAATCGTCGGATTATCCCGTGTGCGCGACTGACTGAGTACTGAGTTCCGTCATTCGCGCAGAGTCACGATCGAGCGCATGACACACGCCTCGCGCGGCTACAGGAATCGGAGTGAAGTGAATACGTCAAGATTACGGTACGCCGAATATAATAAGTTTCTTGTGTTTCACGGAATACGGGACTGTTATCGCACACAGGAGCGAGAAGGCGATCGGAGTGCTGGACTAACGTTTGGTCGAGAATCGTCGGACATCATATCGTGGGATTTAATGTGCATGAGTACGGAGTACGCGAATCTCGCGGTGATTTAGAATAACGACGCGTAGTTATGATATATGTGTGATATATGTGTCGAGCGTTTAACTGTGCATTCGCATCTCGCGGAATTTTACGCTGTATTTCGAGCTGTATCGCAAGTGTGTCTCGAGCGTATATTTTCGAACGGTTCGCTCGTTTCAATTTGGCCATTGACACGACTCGCGTTGTATCCGCGAGGCGTCCGCGTCGGTAAGAAGTTAGCCGCGCTCAGCGGGAAAAGCAGCTCGGTGAATATCGTCGGTTTTAAATAATAGAAGCGCGCCCCATAAAACGCAGATCGTTTCCTCTCCAGGAGTATCTGTACGAAAGTGTCGCGATCGTCGTATTACAGTTACTTCGTACTCGATCGCGAAATATTGGACAGCGGTTCCGTGAGTGTCCTGTGCAACAGAAGGAGGATGAGGCCTGACAACCCCGTTCTGAGAGGAGGAGAAGGAGGCCTGGCGGAGGCATCGGGCCCCGGCGGAGCAACCTTGGGGTAAGTATTTTATTTCTTATCTTAAAATTAATAGTTCTTTTCCATTTATTCGGGCCGATTTATCTCGGATAAGTAAGAAATAATTTGAGAAAGTAAAACCATCTAAAATATTATAAAAGTTTTATTCTCGTAAAGATTTTTCCCAGAAAATAAATAATTACATTAGTAAATCTAATTAAAAGACGACGTAGACGCAAAAAATGTAAAAATTATTTTTTGAAACATTGGTCATTTTGAGCGGCTCTTTAATTTGAATCTTTCGTTTTTGTGTTACAGAATCATCGGAGCTACGTGCCTGACTAACTCCGCCCGTTGCGCATCTGGTCGGTGAGTGATAATTAATTTTTTATAACGGGGTAACGAATGACGTGAGATCCAGTGAATACTTTGTCGCGGGACAGAATACATTTTTATATAGAAATATTTTAAAGTTGATAATTTTCATATTAATTTGCACATTTTTAATAACACTTTGCAATAAAATAACGAGATATTTATATGAATATACATGATATATGTGAAAATTTATAAAGCCAAATGTCATGCGCGAGAATACGATAAATTCATTAAATTGATTGTGATACATATTTTGTGAATATATTGCTTCGGAAATTATTGTCCCTTTTGGATCTCACGTCATTCATTCTGTATATCTCACTTGATATTTGAGGTGAGATCAAATAATGTTCGTGATTTATTTCGCGGTTTGGTTCGTGATTCGCGGTTCGCGATTCGGATTGTACTAAAAAATTTTTTTACATTCATTGATTTATTGATTTATTCATCGATTGATTTCTTAATTTCGGTTGTTTCGTATTTCTACATTATAGTATTCAAATTCAAATATTTGCGCTCGAGATTAAACGCGATGATTTTGATTAGAATGTGGTTAATATAAAATTCTTTACAGTCTTTGTATATAATTTTTTTATCGCGCTTTTATACATTTTTTGATTGGAAAAATTAATTACGCGCATATCGATGAGACATCAAATGCAAAATTAAGTTAAATTTTAATTTAATTAATATTTTATTGATAAACGTGATTATTTATCTTTTTTGATATAATTAACGCGCTTTTATTAACGATCGTAACGATTTCTAATCGACCGTAACGTTATAATCGTCGGCTTTTAATCAGCCGATATCGAAGGAGCTTGATTTCTTTTTGTTCTCTGGCTGATATACAACCAGAATGGATGGCTATGCAATAGGTAAGTCCAATCTGGCCAAAAACACTACAGGACTGCTTACGCATGACGTAAGATAAGGTCGCATTAAATTGCGAGCGCTCATATTTTTCAAATTATTGCCTATTTTTCATATTTTGCGCAATCGCGGTTATTCAGATATATAGTGCAATTATTTCAATATATCGATGCACATCAAAATGTTGAGCATAATCTTTTAAATAACTCAAAACTTCTTGATGGCTCACGCAACTGGGTTCTTGCTCTTCCATTGTAATATAATCCGGAAAATTCGCAATTTTTGCTGGTAAATTCGTTCTATAGAGAAAAATAAGAAACATTGTACTTGGTATAATATTCACAGAGTGATTCCTGTTCTTAAAATGTAAGGAAACTAAGGAACTAAATTTTAATAGTTATACGTTGTTAAGAGATATCAATTATATCTATGTGCTTCAATACCGAGTTATTTACCATTATTTTATAAATTCAGTTATAGAGCATGGTAATTTCAAAATTCTACGAATCTTTTACGTTGTAAGGATTCTAAATTTATTATTTTTTAAAATAGTCAAAGCATTGAATTAGTTATATCAGAATAAAATCTTATAAAATTTTACAATGTTAAATGTCTTTTGAGTACTCCGATAATATAGTTTTTTAATTGTAAATTAAACATAAATTTAATATGAACACACATATTTAATATAATAATATTTTAACAAATTGTTTTAATACATACGTTATAATAATAAATTTCTTGAAAAATGCGCAGAAATTTCCATTCCGGTTTCCATTTTAATCCAATATCGAAATAATATGACATCTGTGTATGCACCAGGCGAATACTCTTTAGCACAATTATCTCCCCATGAAGTTATACCGAGGAGAATATTATTACGCTCTATTGGTCCACCAGAATCACCCTATACCACATGAATAATGATATATGCTAGTAACTGTAAATAATAATTAATAATAATTGTTTTATTATGTTTTACATCTTACTTGACAAGCGTCTACGCCTCCCTCTTTAAATCCGTAACATGCCATCCGAGGTGTCACTGAATAATTTCTGCTTATATAATATTTCTGGCATAGTTCGTGATCTACACTCGGTATTGTTGCGCATTTCAGATTTGCCGACAGAGTTCCATCAACAGTATTATTGAATTTCTATATATTTTATAAAAGTTTAAAGTTTTAAAGACACATAGACATTAAGCAAATTTTTTTAAAAATTACTTAAATGCCAACATCATTTTATATCAGAATACTTCATTATTGCTTCCTCATAGAGGAAGCTTTGTTTTCGTGAATTTCGTATATGAACATTTGATTGCGTATAAAGTTGGGTCTAATCAACCAAATTTAAATGATTTATATATGAAATAGGGGTAGAAGAAACCAACGAAGAGATTGGTTTTTGAGTTTTTTCTGCCAATATGTTCAGATCGTTGTAAAACGTTGAAATATCGCCTTAAAAAAATGTCTGTGTGCATGTGTGTGTATGTCAGATTTAATGTCCGTGGTTGCTCTAACTTCCGCAAATATTGAGATATCGGGCTGTTTCTAATTTTATTACATATCTCAGTCTTTTTTATCCCTATTTCATATATAATTTTTTAAGATTTGGTTGATTAGATCCAGCTTTATACCCGATCAAAGATCCATAACTTTGATCGCATATAAAGCTAAGTCTAATCAACCGAATTTAAAAGAATTATATATGAAATAGGGGTAGAAAAGACTGAAAAATATAATAAAATTAGAAGTAAATAGATATCTCCAAATTTGCGGAAGTTAATATGTTCAGAGTGTTCTAAAATGTCGAAGTATTTCATTAAAATCGCATGTCCGTACGTATATATGTGTATTTGCAGATTTGATGTCCGTGTTTACTCTGACTTCCGCAAATTTGAAGATATCGATCTATTTCTAATTTTATTATATTTCTCAGTCTTTCTACCCCTATTTCATATATAATTTTTTAAGATTTGGTTGATTAGACCCAGCTTTATACGCGATCAAAGATCCATAATTTTGATCGCATATAAAGCTAAGTTGCAGTTTGGTGTTAAGCTCATTAGTGACATCGTTGTACACGAGTGAACAGTAGTTCAACAGAGGCCAAATCAAAGCGGTCACCAGTTTTACACAAAGCTGAAGTGATAGGGAGTTTTTGTGAAATTTTAGCTTGTGCAGCGTAAAGTGTACCTTCTTAGAGATATGAGAGACGTGGCTGTCCCAAGATAGGTCGGAGCTCATGATGAGCTCATGAGAGAGAGAAAGAGAGAGAGAGAGAGAGAAAGAGAGAGAGTGCTGAGTTTTTCTGAAAAATGTTCCAATTTGTATAAAAAAATCTGAGAAAATCTTAAAATTCTGAGAGAAGCTCCAAATTTTCATAGAAATTCTGATTAATAATATGGAAAATTCTGAGATATTTTTCTACCATCAGGAATGACTTTCGAGTTGAGACGGATGAACACGCGATATATCGCTCGCGTATATTTTACGAAACGAAGCATCGCTATCGAGACACGCGTTATTGCCGCTTACGCATCTCGATTCTATTTTCCAGCCTGGAAAATACACTCGAGTGGCATGGCCAAGTCTCGCGATATTTAGCGCAACTGGCGCAACACGATCGTGCCGCGCCATGCCGGACACGGCGTTCAACAGGCCGATATTTATAGACGGGCGGGATTCATTGGCGGAGTTTCTTACGAATATGCAAAAGCTTTCAGGCATCAATAACCAGTTTTCTACTCAGATTTTAGCGTCCGCCCGATGACCGTCGGAATCACGGATTTGACGAACGGTCGTAATGATGGCGCGATAATGCGATACCGCGGCGAGGATGACGACGATGAAGACGAAGACGAGGATAACGGTATTCTCGGGCACGGCGTGCAGCGAGCGTCGCGTCGGCTGGTTCCGCCGAGGAAAATCACGGGAATTCTAATGTAAGACCCGAGACCAGCTGTACCGCACGCCGGCCGAGTCTCGCCCGAGTCATCGGAACGGCGGATTCTCCGCCGTCAGTTCTCGGTCGTAATAACGCGTTCTTCTCGCGCTCGCCCGGTGCCCGCGTGTCGCGTCGCGTCGTGTTCTCGGTATCCGTTGCTGTGCGCCACGTTGCGTTGCGTCGTCACGGCGGTGGACCGAGTCGGGAATTCCGACCGCGATGTCGCCGACCGCAACGGCGTGATCCATTATCCTCCGCTTGTTCCCGGAGCCCGGAGCTGAGCTGGGAAAAGGGAATAATATATATACCTTCGTCGCGAGTGGCGGAGTGATAGTAACTCGAAATCGGAGATACACACACACACACACACACTGTTCGATCCATATAGGTAGTTTCACGCACGAGAAGTTTGTGATGTAGAATGTTTTCTCGCCAGAAATGTGATTCCCGTTGGTAGTCGAGGTAATGTAAAGGAGGACTCGCTCCGGAGAATGAATCGTCCGATTGCCGTGAATCATTTTTGACACAACGCGCATATTTTTGCGTTCCTCGAATTTCCACGCATTCAGGCTATCGCTGCGCCATTATTTCTCCTAATCACCTCGCGAACGTGATTTTTAAAGGGTATATCACTCAAAAGTATTTGAAAAGTAGATCATTTTTAGAATTTTTTTTGTTCATAAGCAAGAAAATCTAAAAACTCGTAGTTTTGCGTATGTATTTTATTATTTTATTATTATTTCTACCGCGTTTTGTATAAATCCAGACAGCACGCATGTCCAAAATCGGGATATAAAAAAACATCTTAAAGACATGTTTAGGACATTTTTAGGACATCTTTAAGACGTCTTATGTCTCAATTTTAGACATGGTGCTGTCTGGGAAAATAACTAATATTTATAGGAAAGTCCTAATTAGGCAAATAAAAAAGTTAAAGTTTATTTTAATGAGTGGACTTGTCTCTATAGCTCTCGATCATCACAAAGAGCAAAACAAGAAAAAATGGCGGCATTAAAGAAGAAATTTAACTTTTTATCATGCACATATTTTTTTACATTAAATTGTAATAAAAAATAAAAATAATAATGATAGTTTTGTCATTTTGGTAGGAGCAATAAAGAGATACATATACATGGAATATGTGTATAAAATTTCAAGTTAATTGATTAATTAGTTTTTGAAATATCGCGCAGCAACCATCGAAGACAAATATTTCGAAACATTGCATCTTATTAAATATTATAAGTTATTTGTATATGAAACGCGGCTGAAATAATAATAAAATACTAATAAAAAATAAATTACTAATAAATACAAATACAAAATTATAAATTTCTAGGTTTTTTTCGTTTAAGAGAAAAAAAATCCTCAAAATTGCCTATTTTTTAGGTACTTTTGAGCGAATACTCCTTTAACGAGTATATGAAAATCGCCGAATTATAATATACATTTCTTTTTTTCTTTCTTATAAAATATGCAGATCAGTAGAATACAATTCTTTTTTTGCATTTGTCCAATGTTCTGCATTTGGCGGTTACGCGGAGCATAATTTTTTACTTTTATACGAAAAGAGAAAGATTTGAACGTCGGAAGTGTAACATCACAACGCTACAAATATATCGTGAACGATTAGCGTGCGTCAAATGCCAATGGATTAAGTAATCCTCAAAGAATGCGGATTAATGCCGAGTAAGCCTTTCAATTCTCAGGACGACTTCGACCCAAACTCTGATTAACTTAATCAGTGAATTCAATCGGTGAATTACTTAAATAATTCATTGTCTCGAATTTAATCTTTTTTTTCTATACGTCAACAACCAAACTTAATAATCTCATTTATGTTGACAAAATAACGGTATTACTCGATAAGTTAATTGTGTCAAGTTGAGTCAAAGTTTGATCGAAGTTACTCTTAGGAAACAGCATGCGAGAAGCGTTCTTGTTGTCAATGAGAGGACGGGTCTCTCGCGATTTATAATTTTCCCAAAAATATAACATCGCGCGCATGGTCGCTTCCCACCACCGAGCGTAGGTAGAAGGAGACGAAACGAATTGATATTTCGAAGCGTATTTCGCGCGTTCAGGTGACACGCGTGTCACCTGCGTTTTGTTGCTGACATTGTGCCGGATTTGAACTAGCGCGAAGCAATTATTCCCAGGATACGAGAATGAATAATCGGTGGTACGTCGGTTGGTGAATTGCGAAACGATTGGATATATTTATAGATCCGAGTCTCGCGTGCGAATTTTTTCGCATTGACTCGCGTTCACTTTGACGATCGCTCGATATTTATCAAATATGACTTCGTATATTACACAGCCAATAATACATCAAATACAGTTTATAATCGCAAATAATATCTTCAAAGAAATAGTAATTAATAAGATTTCAAATAAATTCTTCTGATTAAAAAGGTACATTAATAATAACTTATGTTGTAAATTGTTATTTGGGTTTATATTTTATAAATTCATGTGTGAAAAATTTATTATTATTCACAATTTATAGTTCGTAAATAAGCCTAGATTTTTAATAAAAACTTATGGTCGATTAAAGATGTATTGGAGGTACAATCCCTGCTAAAAGTTAGCTTTTAATAAAATTTACTAAAATGAAGACTTTGCATACATGTCGAACAACTCAAAATATTTTATATATTAGAAAGGATTACCGTTAACAGTTTGAGTATGGTTTTTTGTCATTTAAATAATTAGTATTGTTTAAACAATCAAAAAATAAAAAAATTTTAGCAAAAAATTTTTAAACTTAAAATACAATATCAATGATGTATGCTTTACATATAGAAAAGTTTTAGAAATATCTGAACTTTTTTATTTATATTTACAGCAAAAATGTCGATTCTTCATAAGGGGGATCATGTTAATTTTATCAACTTTAAACTTAAGTAACTCTTAAATCGTTTAGCAAATTACTTTAAAATTTTACAGAGTATTTTTAATTTAATTTAAAAGAAACATCTCAAAATTTTAGCCATTTCTGAATATATTTGAAATATCTTAACACATCCTCACTCAGCAAGTTTAGTGGATATGTTTCAACTTTTTTGCAGCATATCAGGAAGACTAAAAGAATCTCACAAATTTTTATCGACTTCTTACTATTTTGAAGATAGGTCCGATACATCCTTAATTTTCGATTAATAGCTCGAATTATCGCTGGTTCGTTAAAGAAAGTTTTAACTGTAATTTATGAAGGTTTTTCTCAAATTTTGATATCGTTTGCTTCATGTGATTTCATGTAGGGTAAATCGAGGGAATATACCAGTGTAGAGAATATGCCACTCGTTATGTTTAACAAAGCAACGGTTAAAAACGCTCTTGTAAATACCATGAAATTGTTCATAGTTCTATATCTGATGTTTTGCACAAGTTTTGTTTATTTCCTGGCAGTATTATAGTTTTTATTTTAATAATATTATTGAAATTCAAAGAAAGTAATAAAAACACATTTTTTACACGTTTTAAAACACATGTTTTAAACAATAATGTCTCGAATGTATTCGAGGAAGACTAAAAAGAAAAAAAATGTAGTTGAAAAAGGTGTAGCTGACAGTTATAAAATTTACAAAGTTTTAAGATTTCAAGGTTTATAAGATTTTAAAATTTGTATTGTTTTAAAGTTTTTAAGATTTATTTTTTATTTTAATTTTAATTGTTGCAATCCAATATTACAATAATTTTAATATTACAATTTAATTTTAAAATTTTATTTTTTATGTTAAAAACTGTTTGACTGTACTGACTTATTTTAAAGACTAAGATTTGTAGGTACTGCTTTTATGACTAAAGTAACTTTTGAAGTTAAATTACTACATATTTGTAACGTATATAGTATATTATTTTATACTGTGTGGCATATTACCTATATGGTTGGGTAATATGCCATTTTGCAACACTTTTGTATTTCTTTCTTTTTAATAGTAAGCAATCAAAATATTTTATTAAAATCATGTACAACATAAACATATGACAGATAAAAGAAGAAAAAAGGAGTATGCAAAGATACTTCAAAGAAAAAGAAAAATAAAAAAAAAAATCAAATTTCTGTTAAGTGTGGCATATTCCCCCGAGTTACCCTATAATTGTTTTTAAATTAATTTTCAATTGCAGTTTACAAATTCTATTATGGACGATTTTTATTACGATGTCATTATCATATCATACTTTTTATTGTTATATATTGAAGATGTGTATATGATGAAAGAAGAAGAGGCTGATAAGAAATAGAATAAGAATATGTTATATCCGACATGGACCGCAGATTGAAAGTCAAGCGTACAGAGAGCATGCATGGGACCCCGGAAGATTATGCGCGAATACAAATTATGAATTATAAATAGTGAATTTAAACGTGATGATAGTATTATTATCGATGCGAAGGATAATAAGATAAAGTTAAATCGTTGGATGGTCGGTGAAGTGTTGGAAAATGATGTTCACTGGTGGCTCGCATGCGAAGAGGAGAAACGCCGGTGGTGGTAGTGGATCGAGCATTTCCGGGAGAAAATCCTCCGTGGATCATCGAAATCCACCGGCGCGCAGCGTCGGAGCCGAAGGATACACGTACAGGTGAGCTATTCGGTGGGTAAAGGTTTACGTTAAATACTGTGCACGATACTATGAAAAAAGAAAAACAAGAAGGATAAAAAGTAGCAATGAGATTAAGGGGGGATATACCTTTGTGAGGGCAAAATCAAAAGTCATTTTTGACAATTTATTTAAGAAAGACAAAGCGATATTTTTAAATTCGGTTGTACTAACTAACTACAAGTCTTGAGGTAAAAGAAAAAATTTTCTTTAATTATTTTGAAATAAAACGGCGGCGCAGTGGCTGATAAAAGAAAACTCCTTTTTTTTCACGGGCGTACTCGTACAGGTCACAATTTTCAACCTAAGACAAAAAATAAAAAAGATTTAGAAATTAGATATAAAAAACTAGAAAAGTACGTAGGATTTTTTCGATAAGTTAAAATTTAACGATTTTATAATCGAAAATCGACCGATCGAAAATACATGTTTTCTCCATATTGACGCTATTTTTTTAAAAATCAATATTTTTGGAAAATCCTACGTACTTTTCTAGTTTTTTATATCTAATTTCTAAATCTTTTTAATTTTTTCTCTTAGGTTGAAAATGTATTATTTTTAAAACAACGTATACGCGTTAATGCAGCATATGGATATAGTTGCAATTGTACTACCTGTTACACTAATGCAATTATCACAAATATTATATTTCTTTTTTTATTTTATACATTACGTACCCTCCTAAGTAATATAAACAGTTTAGACTTATATTATTCAAAATTATATTTTGGTTATCACAAATATCACTTATATTTTTGTTTGTACTATATTATTATTATTTAACAAATTCTCTTTAGTTTTGTCTTTTTTTAATTGTCGACTTTTTGCAACAACAATATCCAAAAATTCTGAAAAAAATTTTCTATTATCAAGGTCATAACTACTATTTTCGGGATTTTTTATATATTGTAAAATTGTTATTAATTTTAAATCATTTTTAAATTGTATAGCATTTGGAATTACGTGCTTTATTCGGATAATTGAAAATAAATTTTCGAGGCAATCCTGCATAAATCTTCCTAATAAAACAAATTTGAAAGCTTCTTTTTCTAATAATTAGGTACTTAATTCTATAGCAGATTTTGTGGAAATAATTATTCCTTTTTGAAAAGGTTTCTATGCCTCTGATTTGCCAACTTTTATTTTTGAAATTACAAAGATTACGTCATGTAAAAAGTTTATTGTTTCTTCAAATTTAGTCATATTTAATTTACCTAAAGCTAATCTCGGAGTTCTTGATGACATTATCTTAAACCATTTTGATATGAAACCAATGAACCGTGCAGTTGTAATAAAACTGATATTTCCGTTATTATTCCCAATAAATGTTAATGCTGAAGCAACAAAATGATTCAATACTTGCCTCGCGTTATTAACTTTCATTTTTTGAAAATGATTTTTTGTATCTAGCAATTGTAATTTTAATTTTGACGTTAGACTTATACTACGTTTACGCGAGCGTTACTTCTGTAGTAACTTACGGTAATTCCTTCGCGTGAACAGGATTTTGTAGTAACTTACGATAATTTACTCTGTGTAAACGTTTTTTAAAAAGGGTATTTTTCGACGATTTAGAACATTCTAAACACATTTTGGCAGCGACAACTACAGAAAATTTTTTTCAAGGAAACAAAGTTTCCTCTATGAGGAAGCAAAATAATTAATACAAATAGAACTTTGAAATAATTTTGCCCAAAATACAACAGTGTTAAGTTATTATATATTTATGTATAATTTTATAATATATATTTATCTTAAATATGAAGTTGTTGTAAACTTGTTTACATTACACTTTTTTTATTTTATAATATAGGTATGTATATCTACATATGCTCCCGAGAGAGAGAGATGTTTAGCTATCAGAAATAAAAACATTTTATATGTAAAGCCCCTTGCACAATAGGCGATAGCGATAGCGATAGCGACAGCGACAAAGTTGTATGACAGCACAATAGTGCAAGGAGCTTAACATTACCAGATGATTACAACCTTGTATTATTTTAATACATTACATCGCAATATTGCTGTAATGTTTTGTTGCAATCTTTCAATGAAATTATTCTGCAATATGTCTGCAATCTTTTTGTGCTGTATCTGTATAGGATTGAACAACACACACTGCAGTGACATAAATATAAAAAATAATTTATTTAAATCAATTAACTTGATGTAGCTTTGAACAATATATCTTATGTATTGTTAAAAGCAGTTCTTTATTACACGAAACGTGCATGTAGTACGAGAAATGTCCTGACGATCGAATGGTTTTAGGACAAGAGTGCCGTCGCTGAATCCCACGGAATTACCGCCAACGACTTCGACACAGGGTAAAACGTACATTTATAGAACCAGAGTCCCACGGAGAGATCTTACAGAGCCGACGATGTCGATGTCTTCGCCGTCGCGGGAGAACAACGTTGGGCGCGCGATAACAAGAAGAAGGGGTGCTGTTAAACATAACAAAGTGCACATCGTGCGGGGCCATAAACTTGTGGCCAAGTTTTTTCGGCAACCGACATTCTGCGCGTTTTGTAAAGACTTTTTATGGTAATACTTTAGATAAATCTTTGCGTTCTCTCTTTTCATTAATATTTCGACTTTTATCCCATAGTTTTAGAATTTCTACAATTTTAATCAGATATGTATTTTTCATCGACGAGTAAACGTTCCTTAATCATTTATTTTTTATTCTAGGGGCTTTGGAAAACAGGGATATCAATGCCAAGGTAAAGCATTTAGTTTTTACATTTTTTCTCTTTATATTTATTACTCTTTTGCATGTTACCGCAAAGTTTACTAATTTAACAAGATTTGTAAGAGGTTCTTTTTCCGTTATAGCATGTCAAACGGCAGTGCACAAGAAATGCCACGACAAATTGTTAACTAAATGCCCCGAGAGTGGAAGAGAATCAGAAAATACAATAGTAAGTATCGGTGTTTACGATTAGAAGTTAAAAGTAAATTAAGCTTATAATAAAAATTGAACTTATAAATTTTCATTGATATTATTTTAATTCACACTCTATAAGTGTACCATATGAATATTTAAGTGATGTAACTATTACTGGGCAATTCGATATGATAACGGCGATTTTGCCCATTTGTTTTGTTATCTGAATTATTAAATATTTATTTCGTTACAGTATTTGAGAGAACGTTTCAAGATAGACGTTCCCCACAGATTTCGCACTTACACGTTCATGTCACCGACCTTCTGTGATCATTGCGGCTCGATGCTGTACGGATTGTTCCGACAAGGTTTAAGATGCGACGGTAAGAATGTCGTTCGGGACAGATTTTAACAACCTAAATGGCACAATTAAAAAAGACTTTTATGTAACTTGATAGCTTTAAGTTATTCTATTTGTGTACCGGTTACAACTGATTCAACATGTGATATACGCGAGCATAACGTTTAATTAGAATTTAACATACATACGTGAAAGTAATAAAATTGCATGACACACATTATTACACTTTGCTTACGTATATTCTCTCTCTATCTGCTTTATCCTTGCACACGTATGTATTCCGCGCATTTTACGTTTTTTTTTTTACATAAATCTCACAGTATCTTTAAATCTTACAGTAAGCTTTAAATACTACTTACATCTTGAACTGCAAGCAAGGACTATTATTAATTTGTTTTACTGAACATGTATTCGCATTACTAATTATATCTTGAACTGCAAGCAAGAACTATTTTCTTAATTGTTCTACTGTATATAATATATCAATCAGATACTATATTGAAGTTGTAAATTACATAATATGATCTAATTGAAGTAAGAAGCGAAATATATATAAATTATTGTTTCAGTTATCATTTCCTTACTTATTGACATCGTGATATTTATTAGAATTATATAAGTATAATAGTATTAATTAGAAACAAACAGAAGATGAGCGACGATTCTCCTTCTCAGATTCTTTTTTACTACACAAATTGTATTACTAAAAAGTAATTAACATACATCGGAAAAATCTTTATTACGCGATAGTGCCTGTCACATGTGTATATAGATACGATAGATTTTTCAGAAAAATAGTGCTTGTCATTATTTTTCTGAAAAAATATTTTCTGAAAAAATTATTTAAATAATATGTTAGAAACTTGATGTGTGCATGTTGATGAAAGTTAAGAAACAAAGAAAATTATTTGTGAATTGTTTAATATATTTTATATATTTTATAATAAATATTCATATTCATATATAAAGGGTGAGACAATAACTATTACCACCTTAAATATATTCGAATCTATAAGGCCCAGAGAAAAATTAGTGTAACCAAAATTGTACGGTATGAAGGGGGCTATCATATAGCGATAATAATTTTTGTCCAGGTGGAGGCGCTTCGAAGATATCAAGGTCATCTTTATTTTTTTTAAATTGATTCGATACATTTTTTCTCCATAATATGATAGAGGAGCTGAAAACAAGTTTAGAACTCATGACACAAGATCATTGAACAAGGTTTAAAGTAAAGAAAAAAAACGATTAAAAAATACATTTTTGTATTGAATAAAAACGTTTAAAGAAGATGTTCGAAGTGATGACCATCATTATCGATGCAACACTGGATTCTTTCGATCACTAATTGGCTTGCTC